GATGATACCCCCGATCTGAGGGAGGTGGCCAAAATTTTAAGAGACACCTTGGAGGTTGAGCTTTTCTTGCATGTATTATGTGGTTGCTTGCATATTGAATTGGCATGTTTGGCTAAGCTTAATTTGTTTACATTTGGTTAATTATGAAAAGGTTATTTTAAAAGTAACTCTTATGTTATTGTCAAAATAAATAACTTATTTTCACTTTTGAGCTATAAAAATATTATTTATTTTCTTATAAGTGAACTTTTTAAGCTCAGCCAAACTCCTCTTGGTGAAAATCTTAATCATAGCATTGATCACTCTTTGTGTTTCTTGATGACTTCCAATTTCAGTTCCCCGAAATTCCTCTAAATGTTCGGAAGCTTGTTGTGAGGGTATGTGATGTGGTGACCTGCAGAGCTGCCAGATTGGCAGCTGCGGGTATTGTTGGCATATTGAAAAAGATTGGCCGGGATGGTAGTGGCGGCATAGCTAGTGGAAAAAATGAAGGCGCAAGCCGAAGTAAGATGAGACGAACTGTGGTGGCAGTCGAGGGGGGTTTGTTTACAAACTATACGCTGTTCAGGGAATATCTGAACGAAGCAATGACACAAATATTAGGTGAGGAGATTGCGCCGAGTGTCATCATCAAGGTAATGGAAGACGGTTCAGGCATTGGAGCAGCTCTCCTAGCTGCATCTCATTCGACCTCCAGTGTGGATACCATACAGATACCATAAATGTTAAGAATATATATGGCGCCTGTAGATATGTAGAAATCATATTCATATCTTATTTACCACGGAAAAAGTTGGTTATGTTCGTGTTTATCGTATAGTAGGTTATTCGATAGGTGGCAGTTTCTCCTGATATTTTCCAAACGTTCCTATTCAGTTTATAGTCTTGATTAATTGGTTATTTTCTATTAGTCTGTATAGTTGCAGTGTAACAATGGTCAAATTTATTAACTTCTATTCTATTAATTCATTTATATGTTATCAGGATTTGGCATATCGTTGCTCATTTATGTTATGAGCTGCTTTTGTTTTCTTGCCCTCCCGACCAAACCGTAGCCCCTTGTTCCCACATTATGAGGGACGATAGTTTCAATGGTGGTCGGAGTAGGGTATCGTTGGATGTAAGTAACGCTACCGGTTTTCAGACATCACAGTGTCGTGGCTCGTGGGCATGGCCCCGTGAGGAGTAAATTTGTAAATGAGCATGTAAAAGGCACTTCTCATTTACAAGCGAGTTTTAAGGGTAAGTTCTACCAAATGTTTTTAATGGTAGCAGCATCAGAGAAGGCACTCCTTGGACTATACTCATTGTACACGAGGTGACTTTGCGAAGGTATGACTTGTGGGTATATAAATACGATGAATGTCATTTCTGTACAAGCGAAGTGTAAAGGGGAGCTGTACATTGGAGCTCGACTGCTCATATCAAGCAAGTTCACAGTGAACCCGAGCTTTAACACGAAGAAAAATTGCAAGTACAGTCATATTGTACAGTTAAATCATAGTCTTGGGTCTTTATTCATTTCTTGCAACTAGGGATTAGTATTAGTATGCACATAAATCATGCAGTTTGGAATTAACTAAAATTCGTGGCCTGTTCACTGTCCCACGTCTTCTTTTGTTGCTGTATCATCTTTCTCATGCAAATATGTCACCTCATTATAAACATGCAAAAGGTTGAGGAACCTCATATTTGCTAGGGTTTACACTGCAATTGAATTTTCAAAGGTAACAAGATGAGTGGCCAGCATTTACTCAAGAAATACCTTTTCAAATCTTGGTTACTTGAAGAAGAATAAATCCATTCATGGGGTAAAAAATGCCAACGATTTTTTAGATGATTTCGTAAAAGCGACCATAAAAAAATTACCTGAAATTCTTCAAACTTGATGTTATTAATGTAGTCTTGAATGCGAAAATGAAAAAGAAAACGACGCAACTCGATGTGGGATGCCAGATTTTGTAACAAATAATCGAATCCCAACAGGAAAAACCAGAATCAATGTGTATAACTGAACTTCTATGAATTTTTTCCAGGTCCTCCCAGATGGCCATCAGAAAAGAGAATTCTGAAGGTTACTATTTTGAGAGCAGAACCAATGAAAATGCCCAAGAATCTATTTGAAAAGCACTTAATATATGGACTAATCCATCACCCGTTAAATTCAACGAGCGCATTCCTGGATTTAGGCATAGTCATGACAAAGAATGTGGGGCTTAGGGTTTCATGATATTCAACTGTTCAAGAAAGCTCTCTATAGATTCAGATAAATAAAATTCATACTATTTCCATTCCATATAAGAGCATGTTTGTCTACCATTATCAGTAGCGAAATGGAGTAAAGAATAATATTTTTTTGGAGAATGTGTGGTTGAAATTTAAAATAACTTTATTGATTTGTGTGTGGAATATTTTATTAAATGAATATGTGGTTGAGATTGTTTACTGTAGAAAACAATGTTTGTAAAAATGGTAGACAAACAAGGGCTAAATAAGTTAGCTGTCCTTTTTTCATCCATCCAAAATCAAAATCTGTAGGCCATCTCGTAAGACTATATACTCTGGCTCAGGTGACTGATAGAGAAATAGTATCGTGAGGGAATGGTGAAAAAGAACCCCCTCGGGGAGTGAAGTAGAACATGAAACCATAAGCTCCCAAGCATTGGGTTGCAAAAGCCTAAGCCAAAGTCCCTCCACAACCATCAAACGGTTTCCATCACCACGAGCACGAGATTGAAAAATGATCTTGATATCAGCTTGATGATAATTTGTGATGTACCGAAATCTAAAACGTGATACAGAAGACCATTCATTTGTTGCCGTGTGAATAGGACCCTTGACATCTACTCTTGTACCAGGTGGCGATGGAATATTTCAACTTTGTGATCTTCTGTGGTGGCCATTTTGGTTCACCTGGAAAAAAATGTGTAATTGAAGGCTGTATTTGAATTTTTGTTAACATAATCTAGTACCCAAAAACGAGCTAATCTTAAATGTGCAACTGTTTCGGAACCTAGGATTGAGGTTTTTATTTGTTTCAAGATTGAAAAAAATCTGGTACTTTTTGATTGCTAATTCTAGGTCATCATAAAAAATGTTGTCAATTACATGTATTTAATTATTGGAAGATTCCAAGATGTATTAAAATTTGCTAAAGATTTTTATCAAAATTTTTGTCACGGTTCGTTTTGGATTAAAATCGAATTTTAATCTAAATCAAAGTCGAGCAATCAATATTAATCACATCTTTCATGGTTCCGAAGACTTTTCAACCACACATTTCAAAAACTTCCATCACAATCTACTAAAAATCTAATTTTTTATCCCCACCAAACACCCACTAACTTTGCTTGTTTGGAGGACTTCAATTTTGAAGTTTATTTTCAATCTAATAACCCCAAATTTCAATATAGTTTATTGATTTTTACTTGGGGTCAGTTTGATTGCGAATATAGAATATGTATGAAAATAAAATAAATTCTAGAACTTATTTGTATGAAAATTGTTAATTAAATGTCTTTGTTTGATTGAGTTTTCAATCTATAAAATATTATACTTGTCTATTTTTTATTAGTATGTAGATGAGAGAGAGAGAGAGAGGATGTGTGAGAGGGAGAAAGCAAGAGTGAATTACTTGTAAAATAAAAATCACATCGCCCTAAATAAAACATTTTCCTTGTTTTTAAGGAAAATACAGCCACGTGACCAAAAGTAGAAAAATATTTTTCATGGAAAAAATTGTCCATCAAATAGCACAAAAGTAGGAAATTAGATGGAAAAATCACATTTTCCACGAAAAATATTGGCAATCAAATACACCCATAATTATGCAATTAATTTTGGTGTTATAGAGCACAAAAAAATAGTAATAACTATTATTAATTACAATAACTACTACTTACTCTTGGACAATGATTTAAAAAAAAAGTAGGCAATTAATTTGGTGTTCTCAAGATTAGAAAAAAAACTGTATCTTCGGTAAAGATTAAAATTGGATTAAAATTGAAAAATTAGCCGTTATTGTTGACTTTTATTAGACGAGTGAGATCCAATAACGACTATATTTTCAATTTTAATTGAATTTTAAGTTTAGTCAAACATGCTCTAAATTTACTTTCATTTTCACACAAATTAAAAAAATATAATTAATTTAAAAGAAAAATATAAATTGTAATTATATTTTTTTTTCTAAACTACCCCTATATTTAACAATTGTTTAAACATGAATAGTTCATATTTATTCTTATTGATGACAATACACATTAAATAGGGGCATACTCTCAACAAGGATAAATGAAAAGAAAATAAACCCATTTTTATGGGACGGAAAGGTATTAATAACTCTTTAGACATTGATGACAAATATTAAAAAGAATTACCAATTAATTTGGTGTTATCAAGAAAACATAAATAATAAATAGTAATAACTATTAATTTTTTTTTTTTTTTTTGAGTTTATCAAGAAAGTACTAACTATTATTCTTAACTATGTTTGGTTCCTTTTCCTTTTTTTTTTTTTTTTCCTTGGCGTTGAACTCCTCGACCTTTCATATTTAGCTGTTACGTTGATAGGAAAAGAAAAAAGTAAATTTAGTTACCTGCTTTTTATCTGGGTAAATATTACTTATAAATGTCTCGGATAAGAAGTTACTTGTTAAGCTTCCATAGACTGTACAAAGCACAATTCCATGACAAGCTACGCTTCCACAGATTAATGACCAGTTAAACACGAACCAACATATAAAATGCTTGCATCATTTAAAGAAAGAAATGGACTGAAAAACTTTAACAAATGCTCACTCAGCTCGTTCGACTGAGCTAAAAAGTTAATGTATAAGCTTAGACAAACACTACCAATCACGAATACAAGTCGACTATTAGTCGAGCTTCCTCCGATTCAGATATACACGAATCGATATATAATGTTCTTGCATCATTTAAAGAAAGAAAGATACAGCCAAAATATCCAAGCAGTCAAGCACTCAAGAATGCTAAGCTTATTACTTTGATGAAGATGGGAGCTCTCTCACATTGTACTTGGCCAGTTCCTTGTACTTCTCAACAATCCCAATCAAGCATATGGTCTGCAAGAGAAATAGTAATCAGTTGAATAAGTTTGGCGAAGATTAATAAAATTACTTTAAAGCAAATAATTAAGTTTTTAAAAAAAATTGACCGGTCATAGTCGGAATAAGTTACTTATTTTGACAGGTCTGAGTTACTATCAAGAAAAAATATGGTCGTACCGAAGTGGTTGACAACCACTCACAAGTGATGGAACCCACTGTGATTTAAAAAAAAAAAATTACCCACCCACCCACTCTACATGTGAGAGATTGTCAACCAACCCATCCCCCTCCCCCTCCCCCTCCCCCTGTACAAGTAGCATAGCTCTACTATCAATTACGGTTCTTTTTTACATAACAACAGGAAAATAGTAACGTTTCCAAACATGTTTGAAATCAAAAATTACTTCAAAAACAAAATTTTTACTGTTTTTAACCCAAGTTACCCAACCAAGCAACATTGCAAGAAAAACCTAGGTTGTGGTCTTAAAGCGTATGAGGAATTGAGGATAAATTTTCAAAGGCGCAATTCATTATTCTATTCTATTAGCGCATTACTTATACACTAAAATTCAAAAGCATAGTAATTAGTCCGGATTCTCGAGAAGAGGCAACTAAAACAAATAAAAAAGTGTATACCATAGACATTGTAGACATTGAAAATGTTAATTATCCAGTTCAAATTTTACAGATTCTTTTTCTTACCTAGACAATTTGCACAACTATGCTAACATCTGGGTTGCTAAGATCAACTTTGTGGGCTGGTGGAACAGATTTCGCAACTGCATCTATGATTTTTGTTCTGTCAACACCAGTATTTGCACGAGCATCATAGAGTACTGCAAACTGCAGGAGAATATTTATGAATACAAGATTTATTTTGAGTGTGTACTGATTATAACTGCATAAACGAGCCCAAACAACATCAACCTGGAACAAAATCAATGCCATATGTTTTTAAAAAATTTTGTTATCTTCATGAACCTATCTATAGATAGGTTAAGACACCATGACTAATAATAGAATGCCCTTCTTTCTCAAAGTCAAGAAGGATTTCACCTTACGAATCCGAAATCTAATTAATGAGAAGCAGAAGATCACATACAAATATGAAGTGTAAAGTCAATCTGCAATCTATGTATATATGTCAAAAAAATCCCTCGAGAGAAGGGCAAAAGGAAAAAAGAGTGCTCTTAAATCCATTAATATATTTGACTATAATGAAACAAAAACCATCAGGTAGAAGTAGGATATGTGTGCATATTCGTGTTTTTATGTCAATAATATCATAATGGTAATGTATTTACCTTAAGCGGGTTCTGAGTTTCTACGGGAAAAAATTGTTCAATAACTGGTTCGATTGCTCTCCTGATTTCCTCGTCAGATGCATAGCATGTTATTTCAATTGGAAGCACTCTTAGCAAAAACCTGGTTAAATCCATCATATTATTAGTCCTCAGATGCCAAATGTCGGACAAAACGACTCAGTGTAATAAATAATAAAACGATTCTTTGAGAGGTTAATTGAGACAAAAAGAGCTGTAGAGAAATGAACCTTGACACATGTTTCCTTGTTGAAGCCAGAGACGTCATCATGTGTTGGACAATATCTTTTGGGCAGGGATCTCCATCTCTTTTGCGCATTTGCACAAAGACAACACCATTACAACCTGAGTCAAGGTTGCTGAAGCGCAAACAGCAATAAGTTATGCATGACCAGGAGAAGACTACATCATCATATATCAAAATTCAGTATAAGAAAATTTATTTTACGAAATAAAATGCACAATATAGAACAAGAACTTATATGCTTACATTCATCGACTTCCTAGAAACACTAACACAAAAACTGTGTATGTAAGAAAATTGTCATGTTTCTAGAAAAGAAATGCAGAGGAAGTAAATTCTAGAGCATTGATATAAGTAAACAATTAACAAGAAATGAACAGTTTCACGAGAAATGAAATAATAAAGGATGTAGCATGACATTAATTTGTACCGAGCATGTGAAGGATCTGGAAACTGCTTTTCAACTAACCTTGCTCCTATCTCCCAATTCTGCAAGCTCATCTTCAATAAGCCTATCAACAGATTTCTTTTCCACCTTATTATATATGCCATTTCAACATTCAAATGCATCGTTTTTTGTACATTGTTTCTTCACCGGTGGCTCAACAGCTTCAACTTCTTGGCTGTCAGTTTTCTCTTTATTTTCTTGTGCCTCCTTCTCACTCGATATGCCATCCTCCTTTTGATTCCCCAACTCTTCCTTTATAAGATTTTCATTATTTACAACAATGCCTGTTGCAATGGCGGGTTTGTTTTCTTCCTCCTTCGTCCGTACATTGCTTTCATCCTCATGATGATCATTATCTGAATCTTCATCATTGTCATCATCATCACTGCTGGAGGAATCAGAGTATGTAAATTTGGTTACTTTATTCAAGGGCTTTCTAGATAATTCTGCTTGTTTGATTGTTGTCTCCGTCCCATTTACAAGCTCTTCATAGAACTGTCCCAAAAAGCAAACAAAATATAAGTGTAAGTGCGACTTCACTTCATTCCAGCTCCCAACAGAGAAAATAAAAAACAAGAAGAAATATAATCAATGCACTTCTTACTTCATGGCCTGAAGCTAAAAGATAAATTTCAAATAGATGCATACAATAAAGCTGGAGTTAAAAGTAAAATAATTAAACACAAAAAGGACTGCAGTTTTTTTTTTTTTTTTTTATCACTCTTAAATTTTCTCTTCCATTCTACAATACAATTCAGTGTAAATGAATCTTAAAGTTAAACAAACACAGCATATAGACTGCTATAAATCAAAACCAAAAATTTCTACATATGCAACAAAGAGACGTTGACAAACCAAAAAAAGACTCACAATTAAATGCATTAACAAGGAATTATAATAATTCACATATAAACGGCCAAAGATTAAATCTTAACCCCAAATAGAGACGAAAAATAAATTTTCTCTAATCTTTTTTCTGAAAAATTATACATACAGAGTCAATAACATTAATGGCTTCGTTTGAGGCTTGGCGTTCCCTTCCACCATCACACGTTATAAAGAACCCAAGAACTCCGGGTCGTAGAGCGTATTTACCCTTTTTCACTGGTCTCTAAAATATTCAACAGAAATAGTTAAAAAAAATTAGCTTCACAAATTCATAGAAAAGAAAGCTTATTTTTACTATGGTGGGGTGAAGAATACATTATGGGGAATATATTGCTTCCTTTTCTTGTCCAATAACATTAATGGCTTCGATTTGTTTTCAGTTGCCATTGAAATTGAATTGAAAGACTGCAGAGAAAACAGTAAACAGTGGTTCTGTCTGAGAGGGGTTTATGCCGGTTATGGGTTCAAGCCCAAGATTGTGAGACTCTCATTCAATTTTGTCTATTTTGAGTCATTTTTCGAAGTAGCATTTCTGATTATAAGAAGTCTTGCAATAGTTTTATAGGGACTTTTTATATATGATGATTGATAGTAGAAAACCAGTTTAAAACGTTTCATTTGCTATATATTCCATATTTATTGAAAATGGTAGAAAACTTCAAACATTTTGTGTGAAAAACTCTTCATTCTCAAGATCCGTTAAATTTGCCTTTAAAAATAATAAAAAAAATATCAAAATTAAAAAATAAATAATTGTAATTTCATTACCCAATTTTTTTTTTAACAAATTGTACCCAAATTTTTTTTATGTACTACCTACAATCTCAAACTTTTAAAACTTTATTTTCCACCCCACCCCACGCTACCCTACCCTACCTAACATCTTCTTCTTCATCACCTTCAACCATACCCAATTAAACCAAAATCAAAACTTCGAAAATTCAATTAAATTTAGAACTTTGAGATACTCCTCAAACAACAGTGGTGAAGGGGCATAAACATATACTTCTGAGTTGGATAAAATTTAAAGCAAGCTTGAGCAACACCGCCTAGAGTCGTGTAGAACTTCTAAATTGATGAATTTTTAAGTCTCAGACTGTTATTGCGAGCTTCTTCTGTGCTCTATTTTTATCTCTAAGTTTCCGTTTTACATTAAACATTTAGTACACGAATTGCAACATGGATTCACCATTACAAATGTTGCAAGGTTCCAAGAAAACAAAACACATTTCACACTCGAGGTTCAGTCAAGCTATATCTAAATTTCACACACACGCACACACAAAAGATCAAAATTCGGTGCATGATATGAAGTTGTTCAATTATTGAACGCAGTTTTAATTGCCTGTGAATTTTGACCACCAAAACTAAAGTACTAAACTTATCATCCAGTGATTAATGAGGCAAAGGGTTCCCAGCAAGCTTAGCACTCCAATAGTAAAGTCCCCCAAAAGTAGGATATGAAGAGCATATTTCAGCAATAGACAGACCAACAAACATGGTGAAACATCCCGCAATAAGCCATCCATAGACCAAGGAAACCGGCCCACCAAAAGTCAATCCCGTATTGTGCAGTATCGAAAATGAAAAGGCAAAGTTCGAATCCGTATGGTGTAAATTTATATGATTAATAGCAGTATGATTTTGGTTTTGAGGAGTATTCTAAAGTATTGAATTTAGTTGGATTTTCTGGATTTGATTTTGGTTTAATTGGGTATGGTTGAGGCGGAGAAGAAGGTGAAGTGAAGAGGGGTGGGGTGGGGTGAAAAATGAAGTTTTAAAGTTTTGGGATTGTAGCTGGTACATATAAAAAATTTGGGTACAATTTGTAAAAAATAAAATGTTTGAGTATTGAAATTACAATTATTCCTTTTTAATTTTGGTAATTTTATTATTTTTAACGATAAATCTAACGGATCTTGACGGCGATGGGGTTTTTCACACAAAAAGTTTCAAACATGGATTTTTTGGGATTTCCAATAGATGAGAAGGTATATCACAAATGGAAAAATTTCTAAGGGATTTTTTTGCTATTAATCCGTTTATATACGTATCAATTAAAATGTTTTAAAATCGTTATTATAAACACATTCTATGAATTGTAGTTTATGTGACATTCAAGTAGAAGGACTCATAATCTATGGGATCATTGAAATTCAATGAATGGACGGTCAAACACGAAATTGATCTATAATGAGTTCAAATTAATTGTTGAGTTGGCGTGTCTTAACACAAAATCTCTACATCTAGACGGAGTTCTAGACAATATTTATTTTTCTGTCGCGTTCCCTCAAATTGCGTTGAAGACGATTTTTTATATACATTATCTATTTTTGTTGACATGACAAATTTTTAAGCAACCCACAATGGGATTAGAGATGCTCTAAACTAAACAAATCGCTTCCAACACAATAGAATCAACTATAAAATCTGACCTCGTCAAAGTTCATCCCCAACCAACTAATTGACTTGGTTTTTTTTCTCTAAATAGCACTTTTCTTGTCGAGCGTTAAATTAGTCTAAATTTTTGAAGTATGACACTTTACAAGGAGCAATCCAAATATATGATTATGAAATTTGAGAATTTTCATTTGCGTCCTTACCTTTGTCAAGTTGAATTTTCATATATGAATAAGAAACCTGAGATCAAGTTTCATGGTTCTCACTACTATTACAATTCTAGAATTGGGGCTAAGGGTCAGGATTCCTAATCAGAAAAAGTTTTGCCTAAATTGGGGTCCAAGCACTAAGGAGTCCATCGGAAAATGGGCTCATTCTAAAAAGCTAAAGTTATTTTTAGGGAAAATTTCATAATTGAGGCATTAACTATGCACAATTCAAAAATCAGGTTTTAAATTTAATTAATGCAAAAATCAGGTATTTATTTATTAATTAAATATAATAAAATCACAATTATATAATTAATGGTCACATGTACATAATCATTGGTTACAACTTATTTATTGGTTACATATTAAATAATTAATTAGTCGCAGATTAATTCGAGATCACAAATCAAAAAAGTTATAGATCACATTTTATTGGTCACAAATACAAAATTATAGGTTACAATTTATCAATCAGTCACATATTTTCAAATTTGTTTGTCACAAATTATCAAATTTTAAGGTTAGTTTATTTTATTGGTCACCGATAAAAAATTATCGGTCACAATTTATCAACCAGTCACGTATTTTCAAATCTGTTGGTCACAAATTATTTAATTTTAAGATCACAGTTAAATAGTTGGTCACATGTAACCAAATCGGAGTACCAAATCTACAATTCGGGACCTAATATGCAATTATGCCACAAGGAACAAACTTTACCTTCGCTATAAAGGATGACTTGCACTACAAATTTTGCCAAAGAAAGAAATCAGAACAGAGGAGAAGAAGAGAACGGTGCGCGGTAACGGTGTGGCAGCACCTTCTGCAGACGCGATTTGCGCGCAGCGACTATGCCTTCGAGTGACTGATATAAGTTACTTATTCTATAAGTCTTGTCTTGAATAAGTAATGTGATTAATTTTAATATTAATCAGCAAAACATATTTAATTTCACACTTAGTCCCCGTTTGATCTACATTATTATCTCATTAAAATGAAAAATATGACTGTTATCCACCACATCAACATTTAAATTCAAATTTTCTATTTCTTGTGTGGGTCTCAATAACGACTATACTTTTCATTTTCATTATATAATAATATGGCTCAAACAGGGCCATAGTTATCTAAAAAGTCTTGGTTCTGACTGCGAGAATTTAAACTCGAAAATTGCAAATACTAACTGATTATAGAATGTGAAATTATTCTTTCCCTTCCATGATGGGCGGGACATACCCAACGCTCGGTCACCTTCCTCTTAATTGGCTGCCTTCGATTGGCTATACCAGGCTTGCTTTTTATATAATGGAAATTATATGCAACCAGAATTTTAGATATCACAATTCAAAAACCAGATTTAAAGATTGTTTGTACAAAAATCAGATCTTAATTCAAACTTTTAATATTAATAATAATATTATAAAATTAATTAATCTACCCTACACAATTTCAATTACAAACCCTAATTATATATCTCCATTCTTTCTTTCTTTAAATCTTTTATCTCCTTTCTCACCCTCTCTATCCTCTCGTCCGGTCCTTTATGGAGAAATCAAAATTAGGAAATGGAGGCAGTGTTGGGGCCATTGCTTGCAGTTTGTCTCCATACCCATCTCATTATCTCATTTCTTTCTCTATTTGTCGCTAGACACTTTCGAGTGCTGCTACGAACTTACGACGATGCCTAATTGCTTTCGCGACTAGGTTGTGGTTGTGGTGTATGGGTGGCTGTAGCTTTGTTGGATCCAATGGTGACAGAGGTTATGTTGGATATGGCGGTGGCTGTGGTTTTGTTGGTGGCGGTGGCGGTGAATCTTGGTGGTGATGTTGGCTGTGGTTTGCCCGCCATGGTCGGGATCTGCAGCTCCACGATTTGATGAGATTTTTGGGTGTGTTTTCGGTTGGTGGTGGATGGGGGCTATGGTGGTGGTGTTTGGGTGGCGGTGGCTTTGTTGGATTCAACAGTGGCGGAGGTTCCAGTCGATAGGGCTGATCGTCGCAACCGCTGCAAAATTAGGTTTTTTCGTTTTTCTGATTTTGTGGTGGCTGGTGTTGGAGGTTGATTTGTAGTGTATTGAAAATGAAGATGGCGGTGGCGGATTTGGAGATTTTGTTGTTGGCTGTGGTGTGGTAGAGATGGAAGAGATGGTGAATTTCAGATTGTGAGGCGGTGTTGGTGGTGGCGATAAGGTGGTAGTGGTTATGATATTGGCTACGATAGTGGCGGTAAGGTGGTGGTGGTCGTAGCAGTGGAGGTGGTGTGGTGATTGTGGTTACGATGGCGTGGGGTAGGTGACCAATTATTTTGTTAATTGTGACCAGTAAATAATATGTGACCAATGAATTTTGTGACCAATAAATAATATGTGACCTAAAAGTTTGAATCGTGACTTATAAAATTTGCGATTTATGACCGATCAACAAAAATTGTAATCTATAATTTTTTGGATTTGTGACCGATAAATAATTTGTATCCTATAAAATTTTTAAATGGTAATCGTGAAATAATTTATGACCAATAATTTGATAATATGTAATCTAAAAATAATTTGTGATCAATTTTCCACCTTATTATATATGCCATTTTGACATTCAAATGCATTGTTTTTTGTACATTGTTTCTTCACCGGTGGCTCAACAGCTTCAGCTTCTTGACCGTCAGTTTTCTCTTTATTTTCTTGTGCTTCCTTCTCACTCGATATGTCATCCTCCTTTTGATTCCCCGACTCTTCCTTTATAAGATTTTCATTATTTACAACGATGCCTGTTGCAATGGCGGGTTTGTTTTCTTCCTCCTTCGTCCGTACATTGCTTTCATCCTCATGATGATCATTATCTGAATCTTCATCATTGTCATCATCATCACTGCTGGAGGAGTCAGAGTATGTAAATTTGGTTACTTTATTCAAGGGCTTTTTAGATAATTCTGCTTGTTCGATTGTTGTCTCTGTCCCATTTACAAGCTCTTCATAGAACTGTCCCAAAAAACAAACAAAATATAAGTGTAAGTGTGACTTCACTTCATCCCAGCTCCCAACAAAGAAAATAAAAAACAAGAAGAAAAATAATCAATGCACTTCTTACTTCATGGCCTGAAGCTAAAAGATAAATTTCAAATAGATGCATACAATAAAGCTGGAGTTAAAAGTAAAATAATTAAACACCAAAAGGGACTGCAGTCTTTTTTTTAATGAATTATCACTCTTAACTTCTCTCTTCCATTCTACAATACAATTCAGTGTAAATGAATCTTAAAGTTAAACAAACACATCATATAGACTGCTATAAATCAAAAAAAAAAAATTTCTACATATTCAACAAAGAGACATTGACAAACAAAAAAAGACTCACAATTAAATGCATTAACAAGGAATTATAATAATTCACATATAAACGGCCAAAGATTAAATCTTAACACCAAATAGAGACGAAAAAATAAATTTTCTCAAATCTTTTTTCTGAAAAATTATACATACAGAGTCAATAACATTAATGGCTTCGTTTGAGGCTTGGCGTTCCCTTCCACCATCACACGTTATAAAGAACCCCTGAACTCCGGGTCGTAATGCGTATTTACCCTTTTTCACTGGTCTCTAAAATATTCAACAGAAATAGTTAAAAAAATTAGCTTCACAAATTCATAGAAAAGAAAGCTTATTTACTATGGTGGGGTGAAGAATACATTATGGGGAATATATTGCTTCCTTTTCTTGTCATTGTTTGGCTTCGATTTGTTTTCAGTTGCCATTGAAATTGAATTGAAAGACTGCAGAGAAAACACTAAACAGAGGGGGTTTATGCCGGTTATGGGTTCAAGCCCAAGATTGTGTGCGAGTCTCATTCAATTTTGCCTATTTTGAGTAATTTTTCGAAGCATTTCTGGTTATAAAAAATCTTGCAATAGTTTTATGAATTAAACTACTTGTACAATGAATTTGCACAATGATTTTGACAATGTGTGAGGTGTATAGATCATTGTTATTGAATTCAAAAACAATATTTCAAATCAATGGACATAATGCATGTCAACTCACACATTATCAAACTTATTGTCAAATTCATTGTACGAGTAGAATAGTTCTAGTTTTATAGGGACTTTTTATATATGATTAATAGTAGAAAACCAGTTTAAAACGTTTCATTTGCGATATATTCCATATTTATTGAAAATTGTAGAAAACTCCAAACATTTTGTGTGAAAAACTCTTCATTGTCAAGATCCGTTAGATTTGCCGTTAAAAATAGTAAAAAAATATCAAAATTAAAAAATAAATAATTGTAATTTCATTACCCATTTTTTCTTTTACAAATTGTACTCAAAATTTTTTTATGTACTACCTACGATCTACCTAACCTCTTCTTCTTCATCACCTTCAACCATACCCAATTAAACCAAAATCAAAACTTTGAAAATTCAATTAAATTCAGAACTTTGAGATACTCCTCAAACAACAGTGGTGAAGGGTATAAACATATACTTCTGAGTTGGATAAAATTTAAAGCAAGCTTGAGCAACACCACCTAGAGTCGTGTAGAACTTCTAAATTGATGAATTGTTAAGTCTCAGACTGTTATTGCGAGCTTCTTCTATGCTCTATTTTTTTTCTCTAAGTTTCCGTTTTACATTAAACATTTAGTACACGAATTGCAACATGGATTCACCATTACAAATGTTGCAAGGTTCCAAGAAAATAAAACACATTTCACACTCGAGGTTCAGTCAAGCTACATCTAAATTTCACACACACACACACAAAAGGATCAAAATTCAGTGCACTAGGTGCATAATATAAAGTTGTTCAATTATTGAACGCCGTTTTTAATTGCCTGTGAATTTTGACCACCAAAACTAAAGTACTAAATTTATCATCCAGTGATTAATGAGGCAAAGGGTTCCCAGCAAGCTTAGCACTCCAATAGTAAAGTCCCCCAAAAGTAGGATATGAAGAGCATATTTCAGCCATAGACAGACCAACAAACATGGTGAAACATCCCGCAATAAGCCATCCATAGACCAAGGAAACCGGCCCACCAAAAGTCAATCCCGTATTGTACAGTGTAGTTACACTAGTGAGCACTGATATTATCGAAAATGAAAAGGAAAAGTTCGAATCCGTATGGCGTAAATTTATATGATTAATAGCAGTATGATTTTGGTTTTGAGGAGTATTCTAAAGTATTGAATTTAATTGGATTTTCTGGATTTGATTTTGGTTTAATCGGGTATGGTTGAGGCGGAGAAGAAGATGAGTGAAGAGGGGTGGGGTGAAAAATGAATGGACGGTCAAACCCGAAATTGATCTCTAATGAGTTCAAATTAATTGTTGAGTTAGCGTGTCTTAACACAAAATCTCTACATCTAGACGGAGTTCTAGACAATATTTATTTTTCTGTCGCGTTCCCTCAAATTGCGTTGAAGATGATTTTTTAAATACATTATCTATTTTTGTTGACATGACAAATTTTTAAGCAACCCACAATGGGATTAGAGATGCTCTAAACTAAACAAATCGGTTCCAACACAATAGAATCAACTATAAAATCTGACCTCGTCAAAGTTCATCCCCAACCAACTAATTGACTTGGTTTTTTTTTCTCTAAATAGCACTTTTCTTGTCGAGCGTTAAATTAGTCTAAATTTTTGAAGTATGACACTTTACAAGGAGCAATCCAAATATATGATTATGAAATTTGAGAATTTTCATATGCGTCCTTACCTTTGTCGCCATTTGGACTTGAATAAGAAACCTGAGATCACGTTTCATGGTTCTCACTACTATAATCTTCACGACTTAAAAGAAAAAGAAAAACAAAACAACATCCTATATTACTATTACAATTCTAGAATTGGGGCTAAGGGTCAGGATTCCTAATCAGAAAAAGTTTTGCCTAAATTGGGGTCCAAGCACTAAGGAGTCCATCGGAAAATGGGCTCATTCTAAAAGGCTAAAGTTATTTTTAGGGAAAATTTCATAATTAAGGCAGTAACTATGCACAATTCAAAAATCTGATTTTAAATTTAATTAATGTAAAAATTACAATTATATAATTAATGGTCACATGTTCATAATCATGAGTCACAACTTATTTATTGATCACATATTAAATAATTAATTAATCACAAATTAATTCGAGATCACAAATCAAAAAAGTTATAGATCACATTTTATTGGTCACAAATAAAAAAATTATAGGTTACAATTTATCAATCAGTCACATATTTTCAAATTTGTTTGTTACAAATTATCGAATTTTAAGGTTAGTTTATTTTATTGGTCACCGATAAAAAATTATCGGTCACAATTTATCAATCAGTCAATTTTAAAATTTGTTGGTCACAAATTATTTAATTTTAAGATCACGGTTAAATAGTTGGTCATAGGTAACCAAATCGGAGTACCTAATCTACAATTCGGGACCTAATATGCAATTATGCCACAAGGAACAAACTTTACCTTCTCTATAAAGGATGACTTGCACTACAAATTTTGCCAAAGAAAGAAATTAGAATAGAGGAGAAGAAGAGAACGGTGCTTGGTAACGGTGTGGCAGCACCTTCTGCAGCGGCGATTTGCGCGCAGCGACGATGCCTTCGAGTGACTGATATAAGTTACTTATTCTATAAGTCTTGTCTTGAATAAGTAATGTGATTAATTTTCATATTAATCAGCAAAAAATATTTAATTTCACACTTAGTCCCCGTTTGATCTACATTATTATCTCATTAAAATGAAAAATATGATTGTTATCCACCACATCAACATTTAAATTCAAATTTTCTATCTCTTGTGTGGGCCCCAATAACGACTATACTTTTCATTCTCATTATATAATAATATGGCTCAAACAGGGCAATAGTTATCTAAAAAGTCTTGGTTCTGACTGCGAGAATTTGAACTCGAAAATTGCATATACTAACTGATTATAGAATGTGAAATTATTCTTTCCCTTCCATGATGGGCGGGACATACCCAACGCTCGGTCACCTTCCTCTTAATTGGCTGCCTTCGATTGGCTATACTAGGCTTGCTTTTTATATAGTGGAAATTATATGCAACCAGAATTTTAGATATCACAATTCAAAAACCAGATTTAAAGATTGCTTGTACAAAAATCAGATCTTAATTCTCACAATTCAAAAACCAGATTTAAAGATTGATTGTACAAAAATCAGATCTTAATTCAAACTTTTAATATTAATAATAATATTATAAAATTAATTAATCTACCCTACACAATTTCAATTACAAACCCTAATTATATATCTCCATTCTTTCTTTCTTTAAATCTTTTATCTCCTTTCTCACCCTCTCGTCCGGTCCTTTATGGAGAAATCAAAATTAGAAAATGGAGGCAGTGTTGGGGCCGTTGCTTGCAGTTTGTCTCCATACCCATCTCATTATCTCCTTTCTTTCTCTATTTGCCACTAGACGCTTTCGAGCGCTGCTACGAACTCACGACGATGCCTAGTTGCTGTCGCAACTAGGTTATGGTGGTTATGTTTGTGTGGCTGTAGCTTTGTTGAATCCAATGGTGACAGAGGTTATGTTGGATATGGTGGTGGCTGTGGTTTTGTTGGTGGCGGTGGCGGTAGATCTTGGTGGTGATGTTGGCTGTGGTTTGCCCGCCATGGTCGGGATCTGCAGCTCCACGATTTGATGTAGTTTTTGGGTGTGTTTTCAGTTGGTGGTGGATGGGGGCTATGGTGGTGGTGTTTTGGCGGCGGTGGCTTTGTTGGATTCAACAGTGGCGGAGGTTCTAGTTGATAGGGCCGATCGTCGTAACCGCTGCAAAATTAGGTTTTTTCGTTTTTCTGATTTTGTGGTGGCTAGAGTTGGAGGTTGATTTGTAGTGTATTGAAAGTGAAGATGGCGGTGGCGGGTTTGGAGATTTTGTTGTTGGCTGTGGTGTGGTAGAGATGGAAGAGATGGTGAATTTCAGATTGTGAGGCGGTGTTGGTGGTGGCGATAAGGTGGTGGTGGTTATGATATTGGCTACGATAGTGGTGGTAAGGTGGTGGTGGTCGTAGCAGTGGAGGTGGTGTGGTGATTGTGGTTATGATGGCGTGGGGTAGGTGACCAATTATTTTGTTAATTGTGACCAGTAAATAATATGCGATCAATGAATTGGATTTTTTTGTGACCAATAAATAATATGTGACCTAAAAGTTTGAATCGTGACTTATAAAATTTGCGATTTATGACCGATAAACAAAAATTGTGATCTATAATTTTTTGGATTTGTGACCGATAAATAATTTGTACCCTATAAAATTTTTAAATAGTGATCGTGAAATAATTTATGACCAATAATTTGATAATGTGTGATCTAAAAATAATTTGTGATCAATGAATTTGATATTTTGTGACCATGAAATAAGTTGTGGATTATCAAATTTGTGATTTGTGACCAAAAAATAATATGTGACCAATTAAATTATTTTATTTGTGATCGAGAAATAAATTGACCTGCAAAATTTGTTGTTTGTGATTGTGACGTCTGTAATTGTAACTTATACATAACTGTGACCATAAATTATATAATATTGTGACCCTAATATATTTAATTAATTATTTAATAAATAAAATTTAAATTAATATCTGAAATTTGAAAAAGTAAAATGTATTTCTTAAATTTGAAATAAGTGATAATTAATGTCTTACTAATGAAATTTTCCCTTTTATATATAATCAAACTATGATAGTGGAGTATTTATTAACATAATTAGAACTTGCGCAAAAAGAGGGG